TTGTAATAGATATGTATGATATTGGGGGGAAATGGGGTGGTGGATTGGGGGAGGGAGGTTGTCACTTTGAGGGGTAAAAAGTATAACTATTGCACTGTGTTGTACAGCTGAAACTAATTCTAAAAAATATGTATTTCATAATAAAAAAATTCAGACTGCCTTTCTTAAATTGATGTTTTAGCATATTCACTCATTCAGCAAATATTTACTGGGCATCTCCAAGGTCACAGACACTGCTCTATGCAGAGCAGACACAGCAGTAAACAAAAGACCAACATGCCTAGCCTCATATCGCTGCCTACTGGGGAGAACCCTGGAGTGTCAGCGGCATCATTGCTGCAATACCCAGTCCACTTCACTCATTTAGGTAACCTGCCTAGCCCTGGATGCACATAGTTTATACCCACGGAATAACTCTAAAAAAAGAACAAAAATATGTCTAAGCTTGATATGCCCTTTGATTACACAAATAACAATAATCTAAGTCCTAAGTCAGAAAACTACAACCAAATTTTATTTAATTATAGAACTGGAGAAGTGGACACAAAAAGTGACTGGTTCTCTACTGAAATTTGAAAATACTGCCAAGTCACTTTGCCACATATTTGTGTTGAATAACTATCTCAAAACCCAAAACAATTAAATATATAATAGGAACACTAAAAGGTATTGGGCAGGAGAGTTAAGGGAAAGAGAGCAATCCGTCAGCAAAAGAGTGATGAACACCTCCGGGAACAAAGCTTGATACCAAGTGTACGGCTATAGGACATGATAAAGACCTAGATGAAGGAAAGTGTCCCTACCATGAAAACAAGAAAGGAAAAACAGGCCTAAGTAAATAGAAAATAATTTCTCAAATTAATATAAAGACAAATATTTAACCTAGTGATCACCTGAAATAGTAAGAGAAATTAGATTGGATGCTCCATCTAGGAATGAAAGACCCAGTGGTTGAAATTAGAAAGTGTTGTGGTACTTGGATAACAACGTTGAAATCAGAAGTTTTTTGGAACCTGGAAAAGAAGATGTTCAGCTAGAAAGTAAACATTATTCAGCATGTATCCAGCAATGACTAAAAGTAATAAACATCACTGACCGAATAAATGAAGCATTATCTCTGGAAAGCAGGATTTACCAGGTTCTTCTACCACCTGGAGCCTGATAAACAGAGTCAGATAAATATATAATAATAATATATATTCCCCATGTTGATCAGAGGATCTTCTGCTAACTGCTTTGGCCTCCTAAGAAGATCAACTCTGCAAAAAGCTGAATCTTCCAAATCAAGCATTCTATTTTAAAGGTTTAACCACTATGGCAAATTAAGAAGTTGTAATTATGAACTAGTCTCTTGTTAGTGTATTTAATAAATGGTGCTGGGAAAATTGGACTGACACATGCAAAAAAATGAAACTGGACCACCTCCTTACGCCATATACAAGAACAAATTCAAAATGAATTAAAGACTTAAATGTAAGACCTGAAACCATAGAACTCCTAGATGAAAATATAGGGAGTAAATTTGCAGACATTACCCTGAGCAATATTTTTTCTGATATATCCCCACAGGCAAGGGAAATAAAAGAAAAAATAAACATATGGGGTTACATCAAACTTAAAAGTTTTTTAACAACAACGGAAACCATCAATAAAACAAAAAGGAAGCCTACCAAATGGGAGAAGATATTTGTCAATGATATATCTGATAAGGGGTTAATATCCAAAATTTATAAAACACTCATGCAACTCAACACCAAAAAAACAAACAACCCAATTAAAAAGTGGGCAGAGGATATGAACAGACATTTCTCTAAAGAGGACATACAGATGGCCAACAGGCATATGAAAAAATGTTCAACCTCACTAATCATTAGAGAAATGCAAATAAAACCCACAATGAGAGACCACTTTACCCAGGTCAGAATGGCTATCATCAATAAAACAACAAACAACAAGCGCTGGCGAGGCTGTGGGGAAAAGAGAACGCTGGTGCATTGTTGGTGCGATTGCAGATAAGTGCATCCACTATGGAAATCAGTATGGGGGTATCTCTAAAAACTGGAAATGGGACTACCTTATGACCCAGCAATTCCACTCTTAGGTATTTATCCAGAAAAACCCAAGACATTAATTCTAAAAAATATATGCACCCCTATGTTCATTATAGCGCTATTTACAATAGCTAAGACTTGGAAACTATCAAAATGCCCATCAGTAAATGACTGGATTAAGAAACTGTGGTACATTTACACAGTGGAGTATTACTTAGCTATAAAGAAGAAGAAAATTGTACCATTTGCAACGATATGGGTGGACCAAGAGAACATTATGCAAAGTGAAATTAGTCAATCGGAGAAAGACAAATACCATATGATCTCACTTATACGTGGAATCTAAAGAACTGAATAAACGAGTAATGTAAACAGAAATAGTCTCAGAGACACAGAGGAAAAACTGATGATTGCTAGATGGGGCAGGGGTGGGGATGAGGGAGAAGGGGAAGGGATGAGACAACATAAATTGGTAACTACAATATTGCCTCGAGGATAGAAAAGACAGTTTGGGAAATATAATCAATAATGTTGTAAATATTTTTTAGGGGGCCAGATGGTTTCATGTCTTGTTAGAGAGACCACTTCATGGACGGTGTAGAGGCCTGACCACTTCACTGTACATCTGAAGCTGCGGTTGAATAATATTATATGTCAACTATAGTTTAATACATATATAGTCATGGGATGTGGAGTATAGTGTGGGAATGGAGTCAATGGAATTGTAATACATATGTATGATATTGGTGGTGGAGGGCCAATGGTTGGGGGGTAGGAGGTTGTCACTTTGTCAGGGGTGAAAAGGATAACTATTGCATTGTTTTGTATAACTGAAACTAATACTAAATAAATAAATAAACAAACAAACAAACTAGTCTCTTGTGAGTCTTACAGATACGGGCGCACTCTTTTTTTCTTTTTTTTTTTTAATTACTAGTTTCAGGTATATAGAACAATGCCAGACCATTTTCGCTGACTTGGGAACTCTGTTCCAAATACACAAAAATTAGTCAAGAATAACAATGCTAATTTTTGAAACCTTCCCCAAAAAGCTGTGTATAGGATGACATAGAGATACAGAGAGCAGGGACTCTGCCCTTTGAGTGCTTGTTGGAGGAAAGGGGCACAAAACATGACACTTTTCTAAGCCACTTTACCAATGAACTAAACACCAAAATGCTAAGAAGGCACCAAATACAAGTGAGATTGTGTACATAGAATAAGTTTACTTGGTGGAGAAAGGGGGAAGAAAGAATGGGAAAGATGTCAGATGAAAAATAAAAACAAAGAATTGATATAAGCTTAGGTGTTTTTCCCTCAAAATCTTTAAAATTATAAAATGGGTAAATGTTTCTTTATTAGAAATAGAAAAGAATGACTTAGGTTGGGGGACTTGGGTTCCATTTTGAAGGACTTTGACTCCTTTTGCTTCTCTCCTTCCTATGTCCTATTTCTTCCCTTTCACCTTCCCCTTATCCTTGACTTGACTCATCCCACAGTGAGGGACTGTGACCAGGCCCACTCCAATCTGTCTTAGTGGGAAAGCGTGTGTGGGGCTAAGGAGGGCCAGAATCAGAGCCGAGTGCCTGGATATTCCATGATGTGTGGCCTTGGACAAACTGCTTCATCTCTCTGTCTCTGTCTTCTCATTTATAATCTAAGAATAATAATATCGGCCCATAAAGTTGATGTAAAGATTAAATAAATTAACATAGGCAAGTGCTCAGAAATGTGCCTGGCACTATGATAAGTGTTGTTAGCATCGTTATATGTTGCATCTCAGTTTCTACCAGGGGCTTTCAGTGCCTGTGAAGAGCCTGGCTTAAGCCTGAGCGTTAGGCACCTATAAAGAGTAAAAAAGAGAGTTAGCATAGGTTCAGAGAAAACTAAGGAATGGAGAAGAGAAAATAATCATTGCATTTCAATTCTCTCCTCATCCCACATACAAATACAGGATATTTTTTAAATTATTAAAAATATTTATTAGCTTGTTTCTATGTTTTGAAGGGAGCAATAGCTTTACCTGGTCTTTCCACTTTTATAACTTCTGCTCCAAGATCTCCTAAATTCATAGTAGCAAAAGGTCCCGCCAGTACTCTACAAAGTAAACAATAAAAAATTACCATCTTGAAGATTTTTATATTATTTTTTAATAGTCCATCAATTATAGACAAGCTCATATAATGCTAGTAAGAATTTAAATTGTTAGAACTGTTCAAAAAAGTAATTTGGTCATATGTATCAAGAGCTTTAAAAAGTATATTTATTCCTTTTGGTGTAGTAATTCTACTTCCAGAATTCTATCCTAAGGAAAAAAATTAGAAGATTTCCTGAGACAAAGGTTTATGAAAAGGAAGCCTAATTTATAATAGTGAAATACTGGGGGATGATTAAGTAATTTTGTGACAACTATATAATAAAATATCATATTTTTGTGGGTAAAACTGTAATTTCAATATGGTTCATATTTTTGTATTTAAAAATTATATACTATAAATATGCAGATTGGAAAAATGAATAAATATTATATTGTCTTTTAGAATGATAAAATCACAGGAATTTTTTTCGTTTCTTTCCAAAATTTTGATAATAAGCATCCTTTTATAATGTAAAATATAAATGTTTTTTAAGAGGTGAAAACTCAACCACCAAAACACAGATAAGCCAACACAAACCTTGTTAGATCCAGAATTTTTACACCCTCCAATGGCTTCACATTGTCAGTATCTGGCAAAACACAGAAAATATTTGAAGGATATCGATTACTAATTTAGAGAAAGGTTGCAGAATTCTTCATATTATGTTTTAAGTAATCTCTATTACTACCAAAAAGTTTTTTTCTTTACATTATTTCTGCTTTATATGTACACAGACATCTTGACTTGATTCAATTAAGTCAATCACTAAAAATTAAAGCCTCCAATTCCAGATTATTCCCAATTAATTAAGTCCCCAGCTAGAGTTAAGATAGTTTGTCTAATGAAAAATAAAAAGTGAGAGGGGGAGAGATGGATAGGCTGAACACAGAGGATTTTTAGGGCACTGAAAATACTCTGCATGATACTATAATGTTACATATGTCATTATACATTTTTCCAAACCCAAGGAATGTACAACCCCAAGAGTGAGCCCTATTGTAACGTATGGACTTTGGGTGATTATGTGTCAGTATAGGTTCATCAGTTGTAACAAAAGTACCCTCTGGTGCAGGATATTGACATTGGGGGAGGCTGTGCATGTGTGGGGGAGGCAATACACAGGAAATCTCTCTGCCTTCCTCTCAATTTTGCTGAAAACCTAAAACTGCTGTAAAAATATACCATCTTAAAAATAAATAAATAAAAAGTAAACTAAACGAGAAAAAAGTACTAACAACAAAAAAGTAACAACAAAGGCCTCTGCATATTCTACACTGAAGATTAGGGAAAAAATGGATTTTCAAATTTTATTGAACAATATACAATCGCATGTATATTTCACCCATCAGTTTTAAAAATAAGTAGATAGGTCAGTAATTATATCAATACTTCACTAAACATATTTAACATCAAATCACAAAATCAAATTCTAGTCAAATGGCTTACAAAATTTACATCATGATGACTGAGACCAGGCTGAACTTATGGGGGAAAATGATGAAACTACTAGCTCGACACATTTTTTTGTAAATAGACTTCATTTTTTAAGATTCAGTTTTAGATCCATAGCAAAATCGAGCAAAAAGTACAGAGAATTCCTATGTGCCCTGTTCCCCCACACATGCACAAACTTCCCCCTCTTTCAACATCTCCACCAGAGTGGTACATTTTTACAATCGATGAACCTACACTAACACATCATAATCACTCAAAATCCATATTTTACACTAGGATTTTGGCAGTGAATCAATTTAGGATTGGTTCATTCTTAGCATTATACTCATATGTTTGGACAAAAGCATAATGACATGTATTTATCAGTATAACATCATACAAAATAGTTTCACCTGCCCTAAGAATCCTCTGTGCTCCACCTACTTACCCTTCCTTTCCTCTAACCCCTGGAAACCAATCTTTTTACCGTATCCATAGTTTGCCTTTTCCAGAATATCATATGTTGGAATTATATAGTATGTAGCCTTTTCGGATTGTCTTATTTCGTAACATGCATTTAAGTTTCCTTCATGGTTTGATAGATCGCTTCACTTTAGTGCTGAATAATATTCCATTATCTGGATATACCACAGTTTATCCATCCACCTACTACTGAAGGACGTCTTGGCTGCTTCTAAGATTTGGCAATTAGAAATATAGAAAGCTGCTATAAACATCAAAAGGTTTCTCTAACACATAAGGAACTTTTACAACTCAGTAAGAAAGGGAGCCCAGTGGAAAAATAGGAAAAGGACATGAACAGTCAATTCACAGGTAAATAAAAATTTTCAGTGTGCATAGCAAAAGATATTCATAGAAATTTTATTTATAATAAAAAAAAGAAAACTACATGTATAGCAATAAGAATTTTTTTTCTCACCAGACTGGCAAACATTTACAAGATAATATCTCCAGTATTGGCAAGGGTGTGGTGAAATGGGCACTTTCATATACGAGGTGTGATTAAACAATATGGTAAATGTTTAAATTTTAAAAAAATTTATTATGGTAAAAGACACATTGCCATTAATCCCCCTCAGAATACTCCCCCTTGCTTTGAACACACTTATCCCATCTTTCTTCCCACTTTCTGAAGCAGTTCTGGAAGTCCTCTTTTGTGATTGTCTTTTGTCGCACTGTAGTGGCTGCCTCAATGTCCTAAATCATTTTGACTTTGGAGAAGAGCCAGAATTCGCACAGTGCCAGATCTGGTGAATAAGGTGGATGAGGACACACCGTAATGTTTTTATTTGACAGAAACTGCTGCGTACCAGAACCCCGATGTGTGACACGGAGCATTGTCATGACTTACGGCACACTTCCACAAGTATACTAAAGCATAGGTACAAAAATGTGTTCTTGCAGAACTTTTTAAAATTTTTTCTGCTATAATTTAGATGTCTTTTAATCAACTTTGTTGAAAAATAATTTACATATAAGGTATACATTTAAATAAGTTTGACAGATGCATGCACCTGTGAAGTCACCTCTACAATCAAGAAAAAGAACTTTCCATCATCTGAAAGTTTCCTCCGTCCCTGTGCAAACTACCTCTCCCTTCATTCCCCACATCAGGCAATCACTGATCGGCTTTGTCACCATAATTCAGTTTGCATTCTCTAGAATTTTATGTTAATGAAATCATACACTATGTACTCTTTTGTGTCTGGCTTCTTTCATTCAGCATAATGATTTTGAGATTCATCCATACTGTTGAATTTTTATAAGTGAGTAGTATTGTACTACATGAAATATACCATATTTGTTTATCCATTCAGCTGCGGGTGGACATTGAGTTGGTTCCAGTTTCAGTTTACAGTGAATCACACTGCTATGAATATTTGTGTACAAGTCTTTGTGTGGACATGTTTTCATTTCTTTTGAGTAAATACCCAGTGGTATTTACCACTAGGTTAAGTGTATGTTTACCTTTCTTTCTTTTTGTTTTAATTGGGGAATTGGGGGAGGGGAATAGCGCTGGGGAATTGGAGGAAGAGGAACAGACAAGTTGCTATCCTTTTTGTTCTTCATTCTAGTTTTGGAGGACGTTGTTTCACTGACCCAAGTTGGCACCATCATTGCGCTCTTCCCGGGCGAGGCAGATCAGTCACCAGCTTCTGGAAGGCCGCTCACACTGGCTGCTGGTAGCTCACACTGGTAGCCCATGGCAACCCACTGCAGCAGGGGCTGCAGCGTAAGCCCACGCCTGTGACTCATGGCAGCCCAGGTCCAGGTTGAGCTGTTGTTCAGCATCTTAGCTGTAGAGGGCAGTGTCATTGGTCCTCATATGTGGGATCCGAACCAGAACCCTCTGGCATCCCAAGCCAGGTCTTAACCAACGCGCCACTTGGCCGGCCCTATGTTTACCTTTTAAGAAACTGCCAAACAGATTTCCAATGTGGTTGTATCACAGTGCATGAGAATTCTATTGTAGATGCTCCACATCCTTTCAACACCAGGAATTGGTAATCGTTTTAATTTTAGTTATTCTAATAGGTAAATAATGTTTCTCGTGGTTTTAATTAGGATTTCCCTAATGACTAATGATGTTGAACATCTTTTCATCTAATAATTGGCCTCATGTATCTTCTTTTGTGAATTGCCCCAATGTTAATACTGAAGAAAAAGATTCAAAAAAATGCAAAAATCCACCAATAGGTGAAATGTTCAATAAGTACTTGCAAATCCATACAACAGAATACCATGCAGATATTAAGAAAAATCAGAGATTTATATACCCTGACATGGAATGTTGCCCAAGATATCCTCCTTAATTTCAAATGCATTAAAGAAGCTGCAAAACAGTTATTCTCAGGACCATTTCAGATCTTGCTTCCTGGTATATGTTTTCAATTTGGCTCAAATAAACTCATAAAAATTCTCAAAAAAATAAACATATACATACACATACACACACACACACTTTGTATTGTATTAATCTTTTGACTTGTATTAATCTTTTGTTATCAGTATATATTGAGTATTACAATTTTAATACAGTTTTTTCCTTTCTTAAAATGTGTATACATTTTTTTGGCACCCTCTGTATATATATTTCTAAGTTTAAAAATAAAATAAAATTGTAGAACAGAATGTATGTGATCTTATATTTTGTAAAAAATAAGATTAATAATATATGTTGGTAGTTACAGAAGCATTCACAAAATATTATTAAGTAGTCAACTCTTAGGGAAACAATTTATGGAGAACTTTCACTGGCTAAGTTACATATTTCTGTAATACTGCTTAATTGTAATTGTGTGTATAATCAGCAAAAAAAGACAAAAAGCAAAAAAGTGAAGACATAAAGAATAAACAAAATAGGAGAAAAAACAAAGTATTTTAGAGAAAAATAAAAACATAGAAAAGACCTCAAATATAAAAAGACATTTGACATCATTAAAAATGAATAGGCAAGTAGTTCGTTATGTCACATGAGTCTCTAAAACAACTGGTCTTCTGTACTCAAATCTCTTTTAAGGCCTCTATTTTATTTCAAGTGACACAGGAACTATGTTTAGGGGTCTTTCCATCCCATCAATCTTATTACAAATCTATGAAGAGAAGTCAAAATTTCACTACTAATGTCATCTCACAATGATAATTTTTGTTTAGTGAAACAAAAACTTTTAAACTGAATTCATTTGACATCAGTCAAGAGAGTTTACTTTTATTATCTATGAAGACATCTAGAAAGGACTTCTAGAGCACATGTAAGTCAAAATCAATTAATGAGTTAAACACTTAAGAACATGAACTTTGGAAACTGGATTTAATTCCCGGCTCCACTACTTACTACCCAAGCGATGCTGGGCAAGGTAACTTGCCTTCTCAGAGCTTCAGTTTCCTCATCTGAAACATCTATTTCAAGAGTTTGCAAGGATTAAATGAAATGCATGTAAAGTGCTTAGTGCACTTCCTGGCATATAGTAAATGCTACTAAAGTTGGCAACTGTTATCGTTATCATCATCATCATCATATTCTACATGTATTATATAGTTACACCACCTACTAAAACCTTAATCCAGATTTGAAAACAGGAAAACTACATGATTATTTTAAGGACAGGAAAAAATACATGATTCTCAATACTA